GAGAGAGAGAGAGAAAGAGAGTGTGAGAGAGAGATTCAAATTGATAATCAAACTGTCTAGTACTTTGACAACAAATACAAACCAAAAAGGAGAGCAATAGATACAAACCTGAGGTGAGAGCTGAGGGAGTTCATTGGGTTGTGTATGCATCCACCCCAAGGGCTCCAAATCATTCAAGAAGTCATGATCAGGCAATGCTGAAGGCAAATGAACCTGTTGGTGGGTCCCCCACTGTGGTGGCATAGCAATGCAACGGATCTCCTTCACTTGAGGATTGTCAGGAGGACTGATTCCATACAAGTAACCCGCAATTTGGGTCCTTAGATCTGCTATGCAGATGAACTTCTTCAAGACATTCTTTGGCATGATGTATGTGTAACCAGTCTCCTGCAAAATGTAAAATTCCAAAGATATTACCATATGTTCACAGGAACTTTTTATGTGATTGATAACTGGATTTTATTGAGGGAAAGTATGCCGCACTCAGATGGGCTGAGTAATATCATAGTGCACAAGGGTCACCACCGTCCAATCAAAGGATGCAGAGTACCAACATAATAAGTCAAAAACCCAATTGTGGGTCACAGATTCCATTACCCTAGATCCTTCAATGACATGGTGATGCTCCAAAGGACTACAGTGTTCCAATAGTTTATTGAATAATAGAAACTTATCCCCTCCATTAATCTTCATAGTACTTAAAAAATAATAATGAAGTTATCTGTGTTACCTTGATATCATCTGAATTGACATAGATGTGATTAACTCGGAGATAAAGATTGGTTGCAGAGATTGCACGCACACGCCAATCAGTCTTGGAACCAAAAGCAGCCTGCTCATATGGGCTTGTTGTGGTGACTATCAATTCATCACCATGCACATTTGTTGTTCTTGTGGTAACTGCAGTGAGCTGGCTCGCTTCCTTCGCCTGCAAATAAGAGATTTTCAAAAACAAATGATCAGCCATGTCCAGAACCAGCGTAGGAGATTTGCAGCTGTGGAAAAAAACTGAAAAGAAGGTACCTGTTTCTCAATCTCTGCAATCTGTTGCCTCTGTTGTGATGGTGGAGTTATTTCAGCCCCCAATATGATATCACGAATCTCAGACTGGGTCAGAGCTGATGTGTTAACATTATTCTTCTTTGCATAATCAGACAGTATGAGATCTCTCAAAGCCACCTCAACCTGCAGTAACAGATAGATAAGTAAAAGCCCAAACACTACATTCAAGAAAAATCAGTAATTATCCAAAGCAATCCTGAATCCCGCCCCCACCCCCCCCCGACCCTTAAAGAAAACACAAAACAAAAAGAAAAAGGGAACAACAACAGCATACTCAAGCCCCATAATTACCTTCATCCACTGGTCATCTGTTAGGGACGGCCAAATGTGGTGGGGTTCTGTGACAACAGTCTTGTCAGGCTTGAGTAGCATCTTGGCCTTCTCGTTGTTAACATGGAGGGCACGCAAAATCAATATTAGACGAGAGAATGCTGTGTATGATGATATCGTCTTCAACCAATCATCATAAATATTGAAAAGAACCATCTGTGGCTCCGTAGCCTTGAGAATCAAATCCCCAAACTTCTCAATTTTCAGGCAAGCCTGGAATGGCAACTGGAGCTCACTTCCCTTTATCACAATGTTAGGGAAGTCAAGCAAGTGAACCTCCAGAGGATCGAGCATTCCTTTCCTAGTCACAATGATTTGCTTGGGCTGCTCTTCAACAGGCAAAGAGCGCACAAGAGCAGCAACTTCTTCTGCAGTTTTCCACTTGGCCAACTGCCCGAGACGCTTCTGCCCAGCCCAAACACTTGTGTGGATAACCTGCATGGATTAACAATGCCAGTTTATCTCCTTCAAGTATAAAGAGGGGGCATGTGGTTGATAGAAGAAAGTCACAACAATAACCAGTCAACAAACCTTTACATTATAAAAAAAAAAAAGTCAACAAACCTTGAGAAACAATTGCCCCGTCCTCGGGTTAAATATGAAGATGGCACCATTGATAGGCTTTGTGGTGAGATTTCCTTCAAAGGTTTTGTGGATAGTGACACGATATACATTTGTGTCATCAACAAACCATATAATTTGATTGCTGAAAATTTCTCCATAGTTTTGAGATGATAGATATGGCTCAGTGGGCTCGGATGAATAAAGCTGCAGGCCTTTCCTTATACGCTCTCTCAGAACATACAAAGCAGGATTTGACTGCAAGTAAAAACAAAGAAACAGTGAGGTCGGTCAGTCAGTGTGAACCAAAGGGCAATTAAATGAGCAAAAGAAACTAGGTTGCCACACAAACCTTCATGATCTTATTCATAGCTTGAGCCAGAAGAGGCTTTGAACCGGGAAACCAGTTACCATAGGCGGAGTGCAAGTTATATGCAAGATCAATTCCGATCATGACACCTGCAGCCATTAAAAATAAAAAATCCATTGGTGATCGTCTCCAAGAAATGATGCATCCAAGAATAATGTGACAGCATATATTAATCCTCTACCTGTTGGAGATGGATAAATTGACATGTTGTCAGTGGTGTAGTCCAAAAATTTGGCCCTGGTGTAACGTTCGATATCATGAGAATCATAGTCTCCCCATCGGAGCTGAACATCTACCCAATATTTGTTGCTCGCTTTCTGATCGAACATATCCTTAGCTTCTGCCACTAAACTCGGTTTGGACATGTTCCAACGATAAGCAGCAAAGAGGAGGATGTCGGCACAAGAACTGTTCATTTTGTAACTCTTCCTTGGATGTATTGTTTCTTTCTGTACAGTCTCAATTTCCAACGCATCCAATTCCTGATCCAGCACCTGACACAAATCCATGACAACACTTTCGTGGACCTTTTGCCAAAGATGGGCCCTGAATATCTGAATCAAGGATATCTTCAATGTTGGGATTTTCCCATGCATGAATATCCCAGTCAGATCCAACTGTACTTGGAAACCTACATAAACATTTGCACGATTTATAGTAGGCGACCACCACAGAGTAAATCTACGATTCGGAATTTGATTGAGCCCAGAACGCTGTGCATTTGTCAGCTTCTTGTACTTCATAGACTCTTCAAAACCAGATGCTTTCTCCCAGAAAAGACCTTCCCATGTTGGAAAACTGGAAATAAGAATCCACAGTCAACATCATGAAACTTTTTTTTTTTTGTTTTCTAAGAGAGAGTTGACTATAATATATCGAATATAAATAGAGGATAGAGAATGGGCTGGAGCCTTGGAGGTAGAACCAACGAGCCCTATGATGAAGTCTCTGACTCTATTCTCACCAAAAGGTAAGGGTCTAAATCCTCACTGACTTACCCTTTTTTTGGGAAAGGGGCTAAGGTAGTGGTGGTAGCACCCCCACACCATAGTTACCACATTGTGGTTTCCATTCGCACCATTAACACCACCCTACTAACACCTTCAAAAAAGCCAATTCCTAATCTACTTGAAAAAACGGGTAGGGGCCTGTCTTCCCCACTGAATAACCCCAAAAAAAGAATAGAGGATACAAAAATTTCAGCTCCTGACTAAACAGGGCCATATATATTTACAATTTTCGTTTTCGCACAGTGGTTCAGCAGGAGCTTGTGTTGAACAGCACGCGGTCATTTTTCACCCCTACAGCAAATAGTATCAAGATGCCATAGATTTCGGGGAAAAAGACAAGAATTACTATTGGAAATTAACACAAAGAGGCAGCTACCTCAGAACAGACACGTGACGTCCAGCGACTGATCTATTCTATCGAAAAAAAAGAATTACAGTGAATGTTACTGTTGGAAATTAACACAGAGAGGTAACCATAACTAATTAAACCCAGAAGTTATACTGGGACCTAAACCTGCTTCCCTATCCCTCGACCACCAGGGATCCAATATACCAAAGATATGGAAAGAATAAGGAAACCTAGCATTTTCGCCACATGGTAGAAAGATTAAGGTACACAGGTATACTGGGACGTTTTCCAAATTTTGGCCTTCCAGCAGGAAGACACTAAAGAGAGTAAAACTTGGCCTGCTTCCCACAAACAAAGATTTTGTGGGAAGATCAAGAATATGAGATCCATTATGCGGCAATGAAAACATGATACTCACTAAGTTCCTTTGAAGAGAGTATGTTCAAGAATGCCCTCCACCCCTCCAAGTGCCTGGATGACATCAGTCCGGTAATTATTCAAATTCCACAGCTTCCCATCATGCCGCTGATGTGTCCACCAGAATGGATTTTGCTTCAAAACCTGGTACTGTTTAAAGTCGGTTCTTACTCTCCACCCTTTGTCATATGCCAGTGTGTGTCGATCTTTCTGAAAGAGAGTATTGATTCGAGGAATACCTCTATCCCAAGAGTCCTGATGATGATGCACTATTTGTTAGGAAAATGAATATTTCAATAAGATGAATATCAGACATTACTTAAAAGTTCTTGCATCCCCAATAGGAGGACATAAGTATTTAACAATATATCTAATTTCTTCATGCATTCAATGCAAGCATCCACCTTTCCAACCGTAAGTGGTGAGGAGGCTCTCAAATCCCAGGTCTCACTCGACGTTTACCATTTTTCCATGGACAAAGGAGAAGCATTTATTCTTATAATATATAAAGAACATTCAGTTTCTCTTTCTAACTAATGAACAGCATTTAGGGGTCATTGGGATCCTAGGTAAACCTTTACCTATTTTCATAAAACCCAGGTTTCCCGAAATAAATAAAAAGGGTTTGTTTGGCACACTATACCTCTCTCAAAACCTAATTCAAAATTACTCCGGAAAGCCCATTTTGGTGTTAAAGTAACCCAGTCAAGACTGGTTTCCAAAACCTGGGTGATTTTTTACAGAAGGGCACATTTGGCGGGTGTAAAAAAACTTTCGTAAAAGTATTTTCATATGAAAGAAACATACACACACACCCAAAAAAAAAAAATGCGATTAAGCGTGAGAGTTCTTTCACACCAATTAGCTGTCACTTGGCATGAAAAGATGTGTTAGGACCAATTGATGTGAAAAACTCCCACACCTAATCACTTGGGGAAGTATCACGTGAAAATACTTTCACGGAAGTATTTTCATGCGTGCGAAACATCCCTTGGTAATCTAAAACCCTACCTCACATAACAACTCAACCTCCAATGATCCATTTTTTCTACTGCTCCCTACCTCACATCACCTCCCTCCCTACCTCTCCCCCTCCCTCATCTCAGCTTTTCTTTTTAATCCACACAGTAATTTTTGACAAACATAAAACCACAACAAGATCGAATCCAACCTCGAGATCTTCAAGAGTCAATCGCCTATTCTGGGATTGTGCTTCTTGTCTCTTCAAAGCATATTCAGCCCAAACACGCTGTGAATCTATGAATTCACTTTCCCATGGCTGCAGACAAACAAGTAATCAGCAGTATTATCATAAAAATGCACATTACAGATGAAAATGGCTAATAAAGAACAAACTGGTAAAAGGTCATAGAAAACCCACCTGTATGTAGCGATATAAGTTCGGAATAAGCTGATCCTCCTCATGGCTCATACCACTTCGGAAATGAGTTGCTCCAACATCTGTTAGCTGGCGGTATCTCAGATCACTCTGAGGGATCAATATATGACCCATGGAAAGCATGCCGAGACCTCCAATTTCCTTTGGTGTGTAAAAAATTACAGGGGGAAATCTGGTGTAAAAGACAAGATTCAAAATCACAATATACATGAATTTCAGAAATCCCAATTGAAAAGAACAGAAGATGAGCAACTGACAACAGCTTACCTGCTTGGCATTTTTGAATTCAACCCAATCTTGATACGGGTTTGAATCTTATTTTCACATTTCACAAGCAAATCCAACAGCTCTTGAGTATGAACAGTTGCTTCACGAAAATATGTCATGAGGCCTAAAATTGCAAAACAAAGTTATACATCCATATGTCCCATTGGTTCAAATAAAGAAGTAAAACACCACAAAGAAAAAAGTAAAAAAGAATGAAACCGAAGAGCTATCTTTCATTTTCATATTTAGTAAAGAAATATACCTATAAGAGCCGTGTTCCACTTATTAACAATTTTGGTGAATGTTGTCGATCCCGAAGACATCAGAATCTGCCGCACACGATTTTCGAACACTTTCATGTGCTCATCATCAACTCGCAAGAAGGCAATGGCTGTTCGCTCTTTAGTCTGCTCATTCTGAAGATTCCACACGCCATCTTTAGTGTTGCTGAATGCCTCCTGTGTCATTCTGATCTTTGGTAAAATTCGCACTTCAAAGCCACACCTGCTTGCCCGAAATCAAGCCATCAATTAAGGGGAACAAAGAAATGTAAAGCTCATGGTTTTAAAACCTTTTTTTTACTATTGTTATTAGATAGGGAAGGGGTTGGGCTAGGTGCAAATAAGCCTTCAAGCAAAGAAAATTTGGAGAGTGGCATGGTATGGAGTCGTAAACACATGCATAAGCTTACATGCTGAAAAGCAGATTTGGATTGTCCTTGCTGTACACAGAGATAAAGCTATTCTCCCACTCTAAAGTGGTTATACTTCGGGGGAGACGATTCTTCATATCCCAGAAAACACTTCTTCCAAGGTTGACTGCAAATCAAAAGAAAACAATCAAAATTTTTGTCACAGAAAGAAAGTCAAAAATTTGAATACCAAATAATATAATATTAAGCAACTCTGACTATTGTATTAATATTAACATCAAGCTCACCATCATGCTTCATAAGCCTCATTCGGGCATCCCTAGGCCAACATTTCTTGTTATTATATCCCACCATATTCTCATTGTTGGGGTCAGGATGTTCAGTTAGATAGCGTTGGATGAGGTCTCTGGCCTCCTCATGAGTGAAACGGAACAGTATATGCACCTTGTCAATATACCGTGAATACAGCCGTATTGGATGTCTTGTTTCAACTTTAGTATCCCAGTACGTAATGAATTCATTGGGCATTTGAGGTGGACCGGCAATTTCACTGGCCCGAGTCAAACCAAGAAGCAAGAGATCCAGGACCAGTCCATAGTATTGTACCACAAAAGAAGCAAACTGAAGACCACGAATCAAACCATATGAATTTGTGTGACTCATATCTTTGTAGGACAAAACAACATTGTTTTTTGCTGTGACATAATCAGCAATATTGTGATCAAGAACCAGTCGCAAAAGCCTGAAAAAGAGCAGAAATTAGGACAATCAATTGTTCACAGATGTGACCTCGTACCACTTATAATGTGACAATGTTTCAAAAAGCACTAGGCGGCACCTAGGCGGTCGGGGGGGTCTAAGCTGCTCAGCGCCCAGAACCTGGATGGCCCAGTAGAATTTTTTTTTTTTTTGGGTTTTCTCTCTCTAAAATAGCCTCTAATGGGTTTTAAGTTTCAAATGAACCTAAAACCTACAATTTTGCTCCTTTAGTATTAAAAAAATGACCCAAAAATACCCTCAAGGAGCCGCATTTCCACCCTGGGTGGGGCGTAGGGCCTAAGCGGCCGCCTAGGCAGGTTCAAGTGAGCTCCAGGGATATCCGCCTAAGCGGCTGCCCAGGCGCTGGGTTGTCCGCGTTTTGAAATAGTGTAATGTATCAAAAGAGAAACTGTACCATCAAGGAACATATTCATCCAGAGAAGACTATATTCATCAAGAGCACTATAGAGGACAAAAAGGAGGAAAAAAAACAAACAAGGAAAAAAGATGGCCCAAGGAACATACGGCATAAGTATCAATTTGTATTTACCTATTAAGCATTGTCAGGTCTATCTTCTCAAAGAACTTTTCAAACTTTGTCTGAAGCATCACTACACACTGACCTTCACTCGTGTCCCATATATCTTGTAAATTATTTATTCCTTGGCACCACTTGTAAACCAAGAGGGGAGGTGGCTCAGAGTCCGCAGGCTTGATCCAATTAGGAAAGAGATGACGTTTGTCACCTTCATACCACAAATACTGATCAAGGTATGCATCTGTGATTTTCTCAAGAGGTTCAATCTCATAGACGGGAATCAAATAACTATACAAATCCATGAACTCAATGCCAACCTGCAATTACAATGGAAGTTAAAAACTCCTTAGCATGTCTGCACATCAAAACAAAGACCAGTTTCCAATTGTATAGCTAACTTAATAGTACATATGCAAAATGGGTGGTTGACCAGATGGCCCTCGTCGTCCACCCAACCAAAGTCTTGACCACGGAAGTGGACTTGCCACAGGACCAACAATTCTGGAACAGACCAGGACTGGGACCAGGTCGGTAGAAAAACTTAGATAGCCACTAGGCTATCACCACTACCATCCCCCACCCCTCCCCTCCCCACCCCACCCCGGCCCTCCATTTCTTATGTTAGGAATATTTGTTTAGTCACATTTTTTGCACACATACACACTCTTGACCCTAGTGAAAACCCCCATGACAAAAATAAATAAACAATAATAACTAAATATGGTGTTTTGATGAGAGAGAAAATTAAGTTGACAAGAGCCATCTATTTCAATTAACTGTTAGATCTAGGGTCAGATGTGCTCAAAAAAACCTTTTGTTTTTTTCTTTGTTGTTTATCTAGTATTTTTAAAACCGTCCCAAAAATTTGAGGTCAAATAAATCCCTTTTGGATGCAATCTTTGAGGGTGGTGTACCTGAGCATGCTCAAAAAATAGGCTAAAGCCCCTGCCCCCCTGCACGCGTGCATGCATGCACACAAAAACATAAAAAAAGGTCCAGACCCTGGACAGTTAGACTTGGACCCAGCCCAGCCCAACCGCCCATTTACACCTCAAGTTAAAACTGAAGCTTACTTCTTTGAAGGCACGCTGCGTGAGAAGGTGCCGCTTTATACGTGATAATGCCTCGTGAGGATTGTCATATGCTTGTTCAATAAGACCCAGCTCTTCCCTCTGTTGCTGGTTTAATCTCACAGCAACACTATAAGACTCCTTCAGCCTTTCAAGTGCAAGAATAAGAAGTTTTGTGTCATGCTTGTAGGACAATGGTGGAAATGGAATTGGAGAGAATTTCCTTGATTCCAGCCAATGCACTGTTGTGGTGTAGATGGCAACTGCTTCTTCAGGAGTCACATATGGACCATCTTTCAAGTAATTGTGTTGCCGTTCCTGAGAGATGCATCTGGAATAAGTAACTGTATGGAGCTAACCTTCACAGAGGCACTTCTACAAAGATATGAACTTATACTTTATGATGATAAAATAATAATCTGCTGGAAACTTTACCATTTCCCAATAAAATAAACTGCTCATTTATACTATTGCAAACAACAAAAAGCTTAAACAAATAAAACATCTAGATATAAAGTTAAAGATCAAACCTGCTCAGCTTTTAGCCATAAGCGAGTCAATCTTCCAAGATTCTTTCGGCAAACAGTCTTGTCAACTGTTGCACCCCTTCTTATACGTTCACGATTGTAATGAGCAACATTTGTCCACCAATCTGCCTTCGACTTGACGTAACGAAGGATCATGTTCTCAATGGGAACAGGTAAACCGGGGACCTGAAAAACACAAATATGAGACAAAGTACAAGACAGAAACAACATACAATTTAGCACTCCTACGCTATTTGGAAAAGAAATATTGTGGAAAGTGTACCTTCCAAGGAATATTTGCTTTCCAACAGCGCCATGCTTCACTAAGATGCTGCAAAATGGTCCTCGCTTTGTTCTGCTTGATGCCCTCTGAAATGCGATAATTACAATTCCCATATGTTAACAAAGCCATAAAATCAAGGACGAGAATAAAGCTGATAGAACACGATGTAATAAAAAGCATCGACAAAAGTTCACAAAAGCAAACAAGAAAATAACAATATATTCTTGTAATGTAGTGAACAGTCCACAAAAGTAAATAAGCAGATAAATGAAGGATGCATGTGTTATTATTCTGAAAGGATAAGTCCATTAGATCACCTGGCATAGCGTCGAGCACATCATGCATGACAGCAGCTCGTAGTTCCAAATCGAAATGGCTCTCAACACGTTGCTTGGTCACAGTCTTGGCCACTCCTTTTGAATGCCTTCCTTCAAATTGCCTTGCAAGTAAATTTCCCAACCATCTTTCCAATAGAGGTACAATACCTCGGAGGAAGAATAGCCAAACCCTCCACATCGGAGCCCAGAAACCACATCCCGGTCCCTTCCCAACCGGACCAGTGTTGAAACGGTAATAAATCAGATGCTTCAAGTCCTTACACATCCTTATCTGCCTCATAAGTCTATACTTGTAGCGATACATACCAGTCAATTGACCAACATGTGAAAATGTATACTGCAAACCATCCGCCAATTGAAAAGCATCCACATTTCCTAATCGGAACTGAATGTTTGCATCCACCACAAGCTTAGTCAAACGCAAAATTTCACGACATAGGTGGAAAGCATTTCCAAAACGAGACTTTTTACGCTCCTTCGTGGTGAGGGTCTTGACAGGCTTCAGATTGAAGTTGTAGTCAAGATGGAGATAGTTCAAATTCTTCCGGTGAATCAAAAGATTGAGCATGTTGTAACCTTGCTTACAAACTTGAAGACCTGCCTCAGCCCAATCCAGCTCCGTGGTTTGAAAGAACTTGGTGGCTTGAAGAGAACGGAACAAATGCTTCTTTTTCTGTGCTTTAGGGGGCCTATGGTGCAGCTCATTAAGAACATAGCACTTCAAGAGCTTCTGATAGCTGACACGTACTTTGACAGGGTATGATGGGGGGCTGAATTAATCAAATTCAGCATTGTTAGACATAAGATAAAAATCCCAGGGGTGCAGTTTGCATACGGATGCATCC